AGAGAGAGAGAGAGAGAGAGAGAGGGCGAGCGAGAGCCCCGTCTAACTCTCTCCCTCCGTCCTAGGTCAAGGCAGAGCAGAAGTCTCGAGAGAAACAGGGTCAGAATTAAGGTCGGAAACAAGGTCAAAGTACCATCCACAGTCAAGAGTAACAAGATCGAGGTCTTCACTCGCAGGTCATCCAAGTCTGACCTTCAGGAGGGCTTGTGCAGCCGCCGTCAGCTTCCCCGTCAGCCTCTCAGTCAACACACGCCGCCTCACGCTTCATAGTTTAGCGTGTCTGTGTTATTCATACTAATACTTATTATACTTATAAAAAAAGAATCACACTACACTAACATTAAAATAAAAATCAATAATAGTAACATTAATCACGGTCACTAATCAAAGCCACAACAGTCACCCTACAGTAAAATCTACAAAGGCTACAGACTACGCATCACGACATGGAAATCCAGCGTGAACAGACCGACGGCGGTCAGCGTCAGGCTACATGTCACGTCGTTCCAAACGTCCTTTTGGCATGCTATTTAAGGGGGGGAAAGTATACGTAGAAATAAATAAATACAACAAAAATAACTGTAATAAAATGTGGATTTAATATTTATTAAATTAGACTGGGGAATGAAAGAAAGAACACGTGATCTCCAATAAGTCATGTCGCCAGCCATCTTCTCAAAACGGCCTTCGGTAAAGTCTCTGGTGTCCATATATATATATATATATATATATATATATATATATATATATATATATATATATATAGTGTAGGGTGGATCTAAGAGGTTCCTGCCAGTGAAAATTGGAAAGCCGCGGGCGTTTCTGAAATGCCAGGCAGTGTCGGTGATTTCCCAGCATGGTGAATCAAGTATTCATGTACACAAATGGTGTTCTCCCGTGTCTGTCTGTCTTCATCGTTTATGACCAATGTTTAACTGTTTTTTGCTGTTGTTCTGTTCTGAATTGAAGAATTTAAAGTATGAGCTTTAGTCAGATAAATCGTTTTAATGGTCTTTAAGCTAGATGTGGGTTGTTAAGTAAGTTAATTCTCGAGTCAGTTCTCGCCATGCATACCGTAGGGGAAGGGGATAAAACGTCCGATGCCATCATTAATCACGAAAGACACACAAAAAGACAGGGAATGGTAAAACTATGAGAAATCTTAACTGAAGACTCATTATCTCTGGCAGCAAAGTACCAAGTCACTGCTGAAGCTCTGAAGTGTAAAGTCAAGTCACTATTTGAAACGAAGAGAAACGTTGCCACGGAAAATAGTTATGAATGTTGAAATAAGGTAAATATATAAATATATATATATACATAAAAAAGTAACAGAGGCAAATAAGCTCCAGCCAAAAAGCGATTGGAAGGCATAGTTAGCAAAAAATTAGTTAGAAAAAAGTAAATGGACTCAAACCTGATGAAAATCATTAATCTCAGTTGCAGTAAAATCTATAAATGGAAGTAAAACTCGATGTAATTTGTTATAGAAAACATAACGGGTAATTTCTCAGTTCGAAGCATAAATACAAGGGCTACAAATGCATCCATCTTGCAACAGAACGATGGGAAAAGAGCATGCAGGCAAAAAATAATGGTGCAAGCACATGCAGAAAGAGTGAGTGAAGGAGTTTACGAGCGAGTGTGTGTCGGTGTTTGTGCGTGTCCTGTCAGTGTGCATCGGTGTACATGTGGCTCTTAAAGCGTGTAGATAAACTGTGTGGATTGCCAAGCGTGCGTGTGGGTGTACTGCCGAGTACGGACGTGAGAGGTGCCCTTCGGGTGTGTGTGGCGTATGCGGGTGAGAAGTGTCGGTGCCCGTGTGCGTGTGGGTGCATTCAAAGCGGATATGCAGCTACGTGTGTGCAAGTGGAAGCGTGCGGGTGTGCGGGCGCGAACAAACCTGTGTGGAGTGGTCAGTGTGGGCGGCGTCGGAGCCACGGGAGGAGTGCGAGGCGGCCGACGACGACGCCGACGAGGAGCGGCGCGAGTGGGAGGCGGCGGCGGCGGCGGCGGCGGGCTCCGCGCTCGCCGCCACCAGGCCCTGGCCGCCCGCTAGCAGCACGTTGTCGTACTCGGCCTCGAGGTCAGACTCGGCGTCAGCCTCGGCCACTGGCTCGGGCTCGACCTCGGGCTCAGGTTCGACCTCAGGTTCGGGTTCGACCTCAGATTTGACCTCGGGCTCGGGCTCAGCCTCAGGCTCGGGCGAAGACGACCTCGAGGACTTGGCGTCCGCCTCCGCCTCCTCGTGCGCGCCTTCCTCGCTCGGCGTCGCGGCCGCCTCGGAGGAGGCCAGCTCGCTCTCGGGAGGGAGGGAGTCGCCCTCGAGGGAGGACTCGCGGAGCTCCTCCTCGGGATGCTCCTCGGCCTCCCCCTCCCGAGAGCTGGCGTCGTCCTCCTCGGGTAAGGGAGAAGGGGGGGAGTCCAGAGGCGCCGCGGCGGCCTCTCCTTCGTCCTCGGGGGCGGCGTCCCGGGCGCTCTCCTCGGGCACGGGCGCCGGCTGCCACATGCACATGCAAGACAAACATTAGCCAAGAGGGACACGGCGCCGCCCTCGCCCCGCGGCTCCTGCGGGCGGCGAGGCGAGGGCGCAGGCGGGGCGGCGGCGCCGGGGACGCGGGCATGCGGCGTGCTCGCAGGGCTTCCTGCCGCCGTGGTCGCAGGGCAGGGCGCCCCGCCCACGGCTGCTGTTCACGCCCATCAGAGTGGTCGGTACAAAGCACACACGTGTTTACAAACTACAGAAAATATTTACATGGCTCAACAGCTAGGAAAAAAAACTGAAAGAGGAACAAGAGACACTTAATTTAGACATCTACTCTCTACTGATATTCTACTGGACAATACATTTAAGATTATAATAATACCCCTATCTCTCTCACTCTCTCTCTCTCTTACTCTTCCTCACTTCCTTTCCTCTTCTCTTCGCCTCCCCCCCCCCCATCCACCCGCTCATACCACCAATCCAATGAAAACATTTTTTTTCACTTTCCTCCTTTCATGATCGAAAGTGACGCAACGACTCTCCGATCTCTCTCTGCCACCCATTCATCTACTCACTCTCTCTCCTTTTCTCCCATTCATCCACTCTGTATCTCCTTCGCTCCATTCTCTCGGACAAAGAACGTTCCCCTCGCCTTCTACTCCTTCGGTGGACACAACGGGAGCGGACAAACGTTTGCTCGGACGCCCATTCACGCCTTTCACGTCAGGGCGGTGTGAAAAGAGGGAGGGAGGGAGGGAGGGAGGGAGGGGAAGAGGGGAGGGGGGAGAGAAAGGGATGGGATGAGATGAGAAGATGAAGAGGGGGGGAAGGTGGAGGAGAGAGTATGGGAAGAGGAGAGGGAGTGGAGTGGGAGGCGGCAGGGGTCGGGATGGGAAGGGAACAGAAGAAATTAGTAAGTAGAAGGGGAAGGACAGAAGGCAGGGAAAGAGAAAAGAAAGAAGAGGAAGAGAAAACCCAAACAACCCATTAACCCGAACAGCTCCTTCGCCAAAGAAAACGGGCATGCTCAGGAGACACTCGCTTATACACGACTTTCTTTCCTCTGCAGGAAGGGTTCGTGGGCAATAAATGGCACACCTGCTCCTCCGTTATCACAGACGTGAGCAGTAAATCATTAACGACTCGGGGACCCTCGCTTTAACAAGGTACTTCTCATCAACTGCGTATCTGAAGCAGCGACCACCCGCGCTTTCCATCTCCGACGCATGCGAATTTTCACTTGTTATGCTCCTCCTCTTCATATTTCTCTCTCTCTTTCTCTCTCTCATATTATTTTTATTCCCTCTTTCTGTACTTTCTGTACGATTTTCTTCCACCTCCCCCACCCAAGCATCTATACCTTTCTATGTTTTCTTCTCTCATCTAAAGCGTATTCAACTTCTCCCAACCTCCCAAACACAACCACATGCCCTTATTCCACGTATTTTCCTCCCTCGTCTGAAATGTATTCATCTTTCCCTGCCTCCCAACCCTAATATCATCCCCTCACTCCACTTACCCCCCTAATCATCTCAAATTCGTCCCCTCTCCCCGCTGACCTCCCTCCCCTCGCATAAAGCGGATCCCACTTTCCTCGCACCTGCCTCCGTCAGCGCGGTCATGGCACCGCAACCGCTCCAACCCCAGGCTCCCTTCCGCCCCTAATCTCGCCGCAGCCATTCCGAGGCATGGCTCGCCGGACGGCAGGCGAGTGCTCTCACGGGCTTAGCCTTCGTCGTTTTTCTTTATTCTCTCTTTTCTTCTTTGCCTCTTTGCCTCCTCCTCCTCCTCCTTTTCTTCGTTTTCTTCATTTTCTTACTTCCGTGGTCTCTTTCGTGATACTCCTTTCACGTCTTTCTCCTCGAAGGGGGAAGGAAGAAGGGAGATGAAGGAGGAAGGAGGGAGAAGGATTAGGAAGGAAGGAAGGAGGGAGGAATAAGGAAGAAGGAAGGAAGAAAGGGGAAGGAAGATTAAGATTTCTTAACATTTCCCTTTCTTTAATCACCTCCTCATAACAGGAGGACATACAAAGATGGACTACATGTGTGTATGTGTGTGTGTATTTGTATGTCTCATCAATTACCCCCATGACCGTCATTAAGAAGCAGAAAGTGCATCACACGAGCGCCCCCCCCCCCCACCCCGCGTCCCTATCCTTCGCCACAGCCAATGAAGGCAGACCCAGCGCTATCAGCACGGGCGGGCGTTATCAGCGGCGATAGGCTATCTGCGACAGGGCCTCTGCTGCCAGCCGAACACACGAATGCTCCCCCCTCCCCCCTTCTATGCTAATCGCCTCCTTCCCTTCCCTTTCTTTCTTATTCTTTTCCTTTCTTTCCTCTCTCCCTCACTCTTCCCCTTTCGTAATTATTTCACTTCTCTTTCTTCTTTAACTCCCTCCCCTCCAGGTTATTCGCCTTTTCCTCTTCTCCTTCTCCTCCCTCTTCCTTTCCCTCCTCAGTCACCACCCCTCAGACATCTTTAACCTCCTTCATCTTCCTCCCCTCCTCCCTTTCCCTCTCCAAACCCTCTCCCTTCCCTCTCTGGGCTACCCACCTCTTCTCCTTCTCCTTCACCTCCTCCTTTTTCCTCTCCCTCTCCAAACGACCCCGGTCTCGCCCGCCACATCTGCTCCGTCGCAAGCGGGAGTTTCGGCTGACAACAACGCCGGGCCGCGGGAGGCCGAGTCGCATCCTTGGGCACGCTCATTCGCCCCCCCATCGCGGTGCGAATAACAACAGGGGGGGGGGGGGTGGATAGGTCAGTTATGAAAAACGGAGTGACAACAGTATTAACTTTATTTTTCTTTCTCTTTCAATTTTTCTCTACACACACACTTTTTTCATATGCACAGATGTGTATTGTATTGTCTTCGTAACGTCGAAGACGAAGCAAAAAGAGAGGAATTGAGGAATAATACAAGGGAAAAAAAACAGAAAAAGGAGGGAGGAAGGGGAAGAAATAGAGGAGAGAAGGAAGGAAGCAGAAAAAAGGAGGGAGGAAGGGGAAGAAATAGAGGAGAGAAGGAAGGAAGCAGAAAAAAGGAGGGAGGAAGGGGAAGGAATAGAGGAGAGAAGGAAGGAAGCAGAAAAAAGGAGGGAGGAAGGGGAAGAAATAGAGGAGAGAAGGAAGGAAGCAGAAAAAAGGAGGGAGGAAGGGGAAGGAATAGAGGAGAGAAGGAAGGAAGCAGAAAAAAGGAGGGAGGAAGGGGAAGGAATAGAGGAGAGAAGGAAGGAAGCAGAAAAAAGGAGGGAGGAAGGGGAAGGAATAGAGGAGAGAAGGAAGGAAGCAGAAAAAAGGAGGGAGGAAGGGGAAGGAATAGAGGAGAGAAGGAAGGAAGCAGAAAAAAGGAGGGAGGAAGGGGAAGGAATAGAGGAGAGAAGGAAGGAAGCAGAAAAAAGGAGGGAGGAAGGGGAAGGAATAGAGGAGAGAAGGAAGGAAGCAGAAAAAAGGAGGGAGGAAGGGGAAGAAATAGAGGAGAGAAGGAAGGAAGCAGAAAAAAGGAGGGAGGAAGGGGAAGGAATAGAGGAGAGAAGGAAGGAAGCAGAAAAAAGGAGGGAGGAAGGGGAAGAAATAGAGGAGAGAAGGAAGGAAGCAGAAAAAAGGAGGGAGGAAGGGGAAGAAATAGAGGAGAGAAGGAAGGAAGCAGAAAAAAGGAAGGAGGAAAGGGTAGGAAGAGAGGAGGGAAGAAGGGGAAGGAAAAAAGGAGGGAGGAAGGGGAAGGAATAGAGGAGAGAAGGAAGGAAGCAGAAAAAAGGAGGGAGGAAGGGGAAGAAATAGAGGAGAGAAGGAAGGAAGCAGAAAAAAGGAGGGAAGGAGGGGAATAAGAGAGTTGAGATGGGGGAGAAAAAGAGATGGAGGAGAAGAGGACTGGAAAAACAGAAACAGGGAATCAGGCAAAGGATATATGGGGAGAATAGAGAAATTAAAAAAACGTAATTAGGAGAAAAAAAAAAACAGAAAAGAAAATGAAGCTAATACTGAGAGTGAGATAATTATCACACTCCATTTTTTTTAAAGTCCCCCCCCCCCCCCGCCAACTCCGCCGAGCACAGGGAAGAAGGCAAGAGTGAACGCTGAGAAGGCAACCCCATTCATAAGGAAGGAGGAGGGGGAGGAGGAGGAGAGGAAGAGGGAGAGCAGAGGAGGAAGGAGGAGGGTCGAGGGAATGAAAGTGAAACAGCGGAAAGGAAAGAGAGAGAGAAAGAAAGAGAGAGAGAGAGAGAGAGAGAGAGAGAGAGAGAGAGAGAGGAGACAGACAGAGCCATCGACAGACGGAAGGGATGGCAAGGCGGCAGCGAGTGACCCACGCGATTCGACATCCTCCGGGACAGTCCTCGAGAGGCAGCGCAGGTGACGTGACAGGCAGGGGGGGAGGGGGCGCCGTCATCTCATCCGCCGCCGGACTCGTGAGCCATTGTTCGCCACCCCCCTCCCCCTCCCTCCCCCATCTACACCCCAACTCCTCATCATGCCCCTTTCTTCCCCCTCCCCCACCCATGCCCGCCACTCATTCCCTCCCCAACCATCGCTGGGAAATGTATAGAGTTAATTTAATTTAATTTAGTTTGATTCCATTTGTTACAATGGATATTCTTGGTGTGACATACTGTCTGTTTCATTTTGCTTCTAAGTTATCCCCTGTGCGCAAGGAATGGCCGGGGTTACCATCCAATGGCGGCGAGGGATTCGAACGCAGGTCAGCAAGATTGCTAGACGAGATCGCTACCGCGGCACCACAGAGAGAGAGAGAGAGAGAGAGAGAGAGAGAGAGAGAGAGAGAGAGAGAGAGAGAGAGAGAGAAGAAAAAGAGAGAGAGAAAAACTAAACATCACTGGAAGAGAAAACCTGAACTAAAACAAAAGGAAATGCAAATAAGAGGAAGTCCCTCTCTTCGGCCAACCCGGCGCCCCAACTGCCCACGAGCACCACGATCGGCTTCCGCCCCCTCCCTCCCCTCCCCCTCCCCCCTTCGCCCCCACCCATTCATTCCTTCAATCACCGCCCTCCAGAGC